TCTCTGATTCTTGCTGTTTATGTTTGGTCTGTATAAGGAGCAGCAATGATATTTTTGCAGGACAGAAATTTAAACACTGGGGTAGGGGGCAGGCTCAGAGAATGTGGGAATGTTGTGTCCTTTATCCACAGAATTACACTGATGTGTGCTCAGGAGCTAATTTTATTTTCTTGACCCCTTAGGGACTGTGATTGAGGCTGAGATTGACCAGCCCAAATCCAGGGATGTTGCTGAAGGAGAAGAAGTAACCCTGCCTTGCAACCACGCTACCTTTGGTGGAAGTGACTATGTACACTGGTATCGGCAAAATCCCACTCAGAGTCCACAGTACATCATTCATGGCTTACGGGACACAGTGACAAACCACATGGCCTCTCTGACCATAGCGACAGACAGAAAGTGCAGCACCTCGGTCCTGCCCCGAGTCCCCTGAGAGGCAGCGCTGTGTACTACTGCGCCCTGACAGAGGCACAGTGGGACCGACGGGGCTGCACCTGCACAGTATCTCCCTGGTGGCAAGGAGGGGAGGGACGGGGAGGCTGCAGCCACTGGGAGCAAATCTAGAGCCACCTAGAAGGAGACTCAGAGAGCAGTCAGAGGGAAACTGAGGGGAAGGAAAGAGTGAGAATATGGATAAAGAAAAGAAGACAGAGAGGACAAGAAATAAGCTTCACTGGTTGATGTGACTGAGACGAGTTATGAGGAGTCTACGAATCATAATTTTGACACAGCAACAAAGTGAAGAGGCATCAATAATTTGTCATGGCTCCTTATCTTGTCAATAGAATGCTGGTTTCAGTGTGCTTGTCTCCACATAAAAGGTGGGAAAAATACAAATAATCCTACTTGTCCCAAAGGCGTGTTTCATTCGGGACCCAGGGCAAGCCCCCGTTCTGAGATGCACATTATCGCAGTTGTTCTGCTTCCCAAAACAAAGTAGTTTTCCTCTGAGAAAAATCTGAAATGTTTCGTGTTGCTACTCAGGAACATGCATGTTTACGATGAAGAAGTCTTTTGGAAAAAAACAAAGAGTAAGTGAATGTCAATTTTTAAATTTGTCTTGAATTCCTGCCTCTACAAAGAGTTTTCATGACTTTTGCATCTTCCCAAGTAGCACAGAGACCCATCGCCTCATAAAAGCCTCAGCAGAGCAGAAGTGAGAGCCCAGGGCTGCGTCTCCGTCATTCCCCTCCAGCGCCCACCGTCCTTTCCCAGAAAACCAATTCTGAGAGTCTAAGGTGTATCATCAAGTGTGTTTTCTTTCCATTACATGTATCTTCCCATATCATCTTATGCAACTACATACACATTGAAACACACACATATGTGTACACAGTCGATTTGCCATGTAAATTGGATTTATTTTAATTTTTGCAACTTGTCTTTTGACTTTTCATTTACTAGTGTCCTAGAAATTTTTTTTTCTTTTGAGTAAAGGTAGATTTATTCAGAGATACATTGCAAGGCAAGAGAAAGGCCATGACATGTGGGGGTTGGGTGCTCAGATTAAAAATAGGTACACATTCCATAGACAGAATGTGTGCCTTCTCCAAAGAGGGAGAGAAAAGGGTGGTGACAAGGCACAGCTTTTCCAGTTTTCATGGGCTTGGTGGCTTCATTTGCTAATAAGTGGAAGGACCAGTCTAGTAGCCTGGGGAAGGGGCTGGGATTCCCAAGGAGTTGGCCATTTCCCACTCTGACCTTTCCTGGCCAGCCTTGGGACCGCCGTGGGCCTGTGGGCATGTCATTCACCATGCTTATATTACAATGGGCGTATAATGAAGCTCAAGATCTGTTAGAAGTTAAATCTCTCAACATCTTGAGCCTCAAGGCCTACTGGGGGTTGACCCTTTGACCATCCTGGTGTTAATTGCTGTGTGATTCCTTGAATGGCTGTGCCCTGCCCCCTTCCTGTCTCACTCCACCCTAAGAGATTTTACTCCCATACTCTTATGGGGTTGCAGAGGGTGAAGGTCCGTCTTCTGAAACTGCTTCGGGCTGAGTAGGGGCGATGACCCTGCCTATCAGGGAGTAAAACTCTCTGAGTGCCTAGGCTAGGGGCCCCAGGGGCAGGACAGCCTTTTGTTTTTGCATCCAAGGGCTGAGGAGGTGGGCTGGGATCCTCACATGGCCATCATCTGTCTTGGGGCTGCTGCAATCCATTGTTTCCATGGACTTCAGATGAATTTTCTTAAAGATGAAGCACCTTTGTAACAGCAGTCTGACAGTCTGTAACGACAAAAATACTTAAAAGGCATGGTTAAACATCTGTAATCGATAGAGACTAGTTTGCGGTTACTAGAATTATGACTGATTATATTTAACTTAATGTATGAAAAATATCCAAGTTAACTTAATATCTAAGATGCCCCAGATTTCCTTTAAAGCATCTCAAAGTTAGCTGGAGCTACAAAGAACTTTTAGACTTTGTTAGATATTTAAAATCCTGATAATGCATGAAATTTTTCTGTTTTACGAAACTCTTTTACTGAAAACATGCATCTTTCTCACTGTATATTTGTGAAGGAAAAGCCGGGCGGGGCTACAAGCTGACTCACACATCTAAGTGTAACAAGCTTTGGATTACTGATCTGAGTTCTGCTGGGCTAACTCATAAATCTAAGTTAATTAGTGTCGGTTTGCTGATTCCCTGTTCATGTTTTCTTTGCTAGGCAGCTGGATTTTCAAAGAGAATTATCTGGCCTTGAAATGTTGGTTTGCTGTCTCCCTGCCTCTACTTTTGTGATAATGATGCTGTTAAAGCTGTTGAACGCCTATTGGCCGAATACCCCAAGCTTATAATTAACCCTATAAAAGCCCACGCACAGGTCTTGGAGGTGCTCAGAGCTTCAGAGCAGAAGCCCCTCTGAGCCCGCCGGCGTAATACATCTGAGTACTCCAACCCTCCGAGTGGTG